TTTTTTTTTTTTTTTTTTTTTAGTGAGACAACACTTAACTGCAACTATGATAATACTATAATGCAAAATCAAATTCTGTTATCCACAACAAAGTTTAGTACATCTGTGAAGAAGGTATTATTAAATTTTGTTGAATTGATTATAATTTTAATTTAAAAATATGAGTGAAGTTTTACCTCTATTAAGTAAAAAACTAGCATCATAATAATTTGGAACCATCTTTAAATCCAGCTACAGAAATCAATCTTTTTGTAAAAGACAAAATTTTTTACACTTTACAATCGTCTTTTAAGATTTAAAACTAATAAAGCCTTACAAAATTTTAGGCATTAATTTGTCGTTAAACCTAAGCAATTTACTGTCGTTAGAGTGGTGATATCAAACGTTGGCCTGTTATAATGCTCTCAAAAGTAGTTTGGCTGTATTTACATATGCTTAATACCATAGAAATGTAAAAAGTTTTAAACATTATCAACAACAGATTTTAGTGTAACATTTAAGTAGAATTAAACAAAATATTCATAATTTTTTTCAATATGCTTACAGACTATACGTAAAGCCGATTTGGTGTCAAAATGTTTGTCTAAGGGTACATAAAGTAAATTGATAGCTAACTTTGTACAGTTATAAGCTCAGCCATAAAATTGTTTTAAAAGGATACTTTAGTTGAATAATGACCACAAAGGCATCTGTTCTGTGGGAGAACTAATGTACGAAACCGATAAAATTTTACAGATTCTAGTCAAACAACAACACTAAAGACATTTGAGTACTCAGTTAGGCCGAAGAGGTGTCAAACTTAAAAGAAATTACAACTGTGATTAGTTACCTAATTCATAGAATGTTTTCTCGTAATTATTCTTTGAACAGCTGAGCAGCACCACTAACATTGAACGACGACGATTTATTTATAACAGTAGGTTTCCTCAGTTAACTAACAGATGACTTAATAATTAACGTCTGAACCAGCAAAATGTACTTTTACATCGAACTTTTATAATATTATTTTCTTTGTAAAACCAGTCGGTCGAATGTTGACAGTAAGCTTATATTCTGAACAAACATAGGTTTTACAGTACTGTCCATAGTAATTTGGTTGACACTTCCTAAAATGTTTTCAAAGTTGCTTTTATGTTAGGTTCGGCTTATTTTTGTTTATTACTTTAATCCGTTCTTCTAGTGATCCAAATAATTTATAAAAAAGACTCACAAGAAGACTAAAACCAATCGTGCAAATACTGCTTCTCTGCTCTTCACTTTCACTGCTTTTGAACAGTAATATTCGTTATAACGGTATATTAGATCATAAATTTGCAAACTAATTTTTATGAATATGACTCAGTGGATCGATGTTTACAGACGTCCATGAAGTAGCACGCTGTTTTTTTAAACCATTACTAATTCACTTTGAAAAATCACTTTAAAAACATGTATACTGCTTATCGATATGAATATTAATATCCTGTTTAAGAAATAATTTTAAATAAACTTTCTCGTCACAAGAAAAAAAGTACAAAAAAATTTTGCTTCTACCAAGTTGTTGAAATAACTTCAAGCAAATCCCAAAAAGTTTAGAGTGGGTGAAACGATATTCTACTTTTTCGATGCCAAATTAACCGGTTTTATACTATTTGCCAAATACACATTAATAATAGCACTTATCTTTGATTAGTCATACCTTCTAAATTCGTTCTACCTTCTCCCCTCTCCCCCCTCATTTCTAGCATCTTATTCAAAAAAAATAAGAGCTTAAAATCTATTTCTGGTTGAAAAAAAGTCATAGATAAAAGTGCAGAGTAGTTCGCACTACAACTTCACTTGAACCCAGAAACAAATCTCAAACCTTTCATAGTGGTTCTAGCCATCAGGTATTATATTTACGTTCTTTAAAACATAATACTTTTAATTTTCATTACGTAGACCGATAAATCTTTTTTATTCTATCGGCAGTCTGCTATCGCCCTCATACTTTATGTCTGTCCTAAATCTTTTTCTCCTCAAATACCTAATTTCTAAAAAGTTTTAATCATTCTGCGTGTATTCCATCAGAAAAGTACGAACATTCAAAATAAACAAAGGCATTAATTTACTATATTACTTACTTCACTCCACATACAACTGAGTTGCAAAATTCTTAGACATTTAGCGCATGCCTTTATATACTGTAAAATCGTGTATTATAAAAAAAAGTCAATTTTAGGCTTCAAATGCATCACTTTTCTGGTTG